ACACACACACACACACACACACACACACACACACACACACACACACACACACGAACCCCTACCATGAACTTCAGTTCCACTGATCACTTGACCTCTTTGAAGTCCCATTCTTCCACCTGCTAATCACTCATATACTTACTTCATCTAATATATACTTAAACGCTCACTTAACTTTCCCTAAACGCAAGAGATTGTCCCTAACTGCACATTTATAAAATGGTGCATTCCTTCAGTCTTAACCTCCTTGCTTTGTCCTAGCATTTACCACCCAACATAAATTTGTTTAGTCTTCTCCAGTTTGACTAAGTTACATGACAGAAAGGAATTGGCTTGTTTAATGTATTCAAATGTATCCAGGGAGCTCTCATGGCCTAGTAGTAGCTGCTCTTCAGAAGGACGGGCACAAGGTTCAAATCCAGCAGCTTCTCTGTGGGAGAAGGATGGGCAATCTCCTTCCGAGCAATTAACTGCCTTCTCAATGGTACACAACAACAATATACCCAAAACACTCAGTACAAAGCCCAATATTTAGTATTTAGCAGCTCAGTACATATTCATCAGATAAAAATGGTTGGGTGGATGAATGGATGGCAGGCTTTAAATTCAAACCAGGTTTGTTCCAAAGCTTGGTACAATTTTCACAACAACTAACAAATCATGGAGCCAGACCTATTGTATACTAAGCCGTTCCAGCTTTAGAGAGGTTTAAATTGCTTAGTAAAGTGCTAGAAATTTCATTCTTCTCAAATAATTTTTTACTCCAAGGGTCTAGGAAACAATACTACAAAATGCAAAAGCAGTTGTTGTTTTTAGGGGCATTCCAGTTGAGTAGGACTCAAAGTCATTCTATGAACAACAGCCTTAACCCTGGCCTATTCTGTGTCATCCTCATCTCTGACACACTTGAGCCTATTACTGCAGTCACTGTGTCAATCTCATTGCAGGTCTTCCTCTTAGTGGCTGCTCGTTCACCTTTCTAAGCATGATCTCCCTTTTCAAGGAATAGCCTCTCCTAGCAATGTGTCCAAAGTGCAAGAAACAAAGCTTCACCATCTTTGCCTCCAAAGAACAGTCTGGCTGCACTTTTCTCAAGACATAACTGTTTGTTCTTTTGGCAGTCCATGAGATATTCAGTACTCTTTCCTAACACAACTCAAAGGTATCAATTATTCTGCTGTCCTTCTTGTTCATCATCCAGCTCTCAAACACATAGCAAATGAATGATGCATCTTACTACATAATTCTTAGATAAAAGCCTAGATCTTAGAGCTGGAATGCATGATTATAACAAACTGCTATCATTGCTCTTCAGTGTTTTGGAGAAGTCCCTGATGGTGGGCTCTCCCAAAGCAATACATCTAATCTCCTGACTGCTAGTACCAAGGGGGTTGATTGTGGATCCAAGTTAAGATTAAATCATTAACAGTTTTACACCTTTTTATCTATCATGATGTTGCCTGTTGGCCCAGTGGTAAGAATCTTTGCTTGATGCTGAAATGTAATCCATATTGAAGGCAGTTATCTTTGATCTTCTACAGCAAGCATTTCAGGTCCTCACTTGCGGCAAGCAAGACTGTATCATCTGCATAATGCAAGTTCTTTTTAAGTCTTTCTCCAATCCTGATGTCTCATTCCTCTTCACAGAATTTAGCTTCATGAATTATTTATTCAGCATACAGATTGAATAGGTATAGAGAAAGGACACCCTGGTGCACTCCCTTTCTGATTTTAAACTATGCAATGCTCCATTTTGACCCTTTTGGTTTTCTGACTCCAGCTCCTTGCACATTTCATTGTAATATTTTACTTTGTTAGATGGATCTTAGCTGAAAGCAGGGAATACCAGAAGAATGTTTATCTGTGTTTCATTGATTATGCAAAGGTGTTTGACTGTGTGGATCATAACAAACTGTGACTGACTCTGAGAAGAATGGGAATCCCAGAACATTTAATCATGCTAAGGCACAAGACAGAGCAGAGTTTAGGGCTGTTGTACATAGGATCGCTATGAGTCACAAGCGACTCGATGGCACACAACAACAACAATGCGAAACCTATACTTGGACCAAGAGGCAGTCGTCAGAACAGAGCAGGGTAACACCGCATGGTTCAAAATTGGGAAGGGTGTACGCCAGGGATGTGTCCTATTTCCATACCTTTTCAACCTGTATGCAGAGCAGATTATCCGAGAGGCTGGGCTCTATGAGGAGAAGTGTGGCGTCAGGATTGATGGAAGATCTATTAACAATCTGCGTTATGCAGATGACACAACCCTGCTTGCCGAAACTGAGGAGGACCTCATGCACTTGCTGCAGACGGTCAAGGACTGCAGCCTTCAGTATGGAGTCAATTCAATTCAATGTCAAGAAGACAAAGATTCTCACCACTAGACCAATTAGTACCATCAGGATGGATAGCAAAGAGATTGAGATTGTTCACAGCTTCAGTTTGCTCAGCTCCACTGTCAACACTCTTGGCACCAGCAGCCAGGAAATAAAACAAACAAAAAATGTATTGCGATGGGAAAGTCTGCTGTTAGGGACCTCTCTAAAGTGCTCAAAAGCAACGGTATCTCTCTGGAGACTAAGGTGCGCCTGATACAGGCCATGGTCTTTGCAATCACTTGTTATGCATCAGAGAGTTGGACAATGACTAGGGAGGAGAATTGATGCCTTTGAGCTGTGGTGCTGGAGAAGAGTAATGAATGTACCATGCACTGCTAAGAAAACAAACAGATTCATCCTGGAGAGGATTAAACCAGGCTACTCCTTGGAGTCAAGGATTCTGGGGCTTTGTCTGACATACTTTGGACATGTTGTAAGGAGGGACAGGTCCTTGGAAAGGGACATCATGCTTGGTAGGGTGGAGGGACAGCACAGGAGGGGAAAGCCCTCTATGAGGTGGATTGATTCGGTGACTGGGGTAATCGGGATGGGTGTGTCAGAGGCAGTGCGATTGGCACAGAACAGAGCAGGGTTTAGGGCTGTTGTACACAGGGTCGCTATGAGTTGCAAACGACTCGATGGCACATAACAACAACATCCTGCCCTGCCTTTTGAAATCTTCTGTTCAGCTCTTTAGGATCTTTAATTCTTCCTTGTGCTTTGGCTTCTCTGCACTCCAGTGCAATCTTCAGAGTTTCTTCTGACATCCATTTTGGTCTTTTCTTCCTCTTCTTTGTAATGAACATTTGCACTCTTCTTGGATGATACTCTTGATATTCTCCCACAACTCGTCTGGTCTTGGCTCATTCGTGTTCAAGGCCTCAAACCTGTTCTTGAGATGGTTCTGAAATTCAGGTGGGATAGACTCAAAGTTATATTTTGGTTCCCATGAATTTGGTTTAATTTTCCTCAGCTTCAGCTTGAACTTGCATAGGAGAAGTTAATGGTTTGTGATTCGGTGACTGGCGAAATCAGGATGAGTGTGTCAGAGACAATGAGATTGGCATAGGACAGAGCAGAGTTTAGAGCTGTTGTACAAAGGGTTGCTATGAGTCGCAAGAGACTCAACGGCACATAACAACAACAACAGTGTTCCATTTGAACAACAGCTTCATGGTCTAGTTATTGATTTCATATGAGCATAATTTAGTGTTCTGAGATTTTCTTTTTTTGTTGTTGTTGTTGTTGTTAGTCATAGGTTGTTTTGATCCACAAAATCAAATGCCTTTGCACAGACAAAAAAAAACCCACATAAAAAACACAGACAGACATTCTCTGATAGTCTTTGCTAAAATTTAGAAGCAGATAAGAGCTTTGGTAAAAGCACAGATCTTAAGAGGGGTAAAGAATTGCATTGCCAAAGCAAAGGTATTCAGTTTGAATCCACTAGCTGTTTTGTGGGAGCAAGATGGGTAATCTCCTGCCATGCTATTTATTGCCTTTGAAAAC